ACCTTTACTGCCGTAGACTGTGCTACTGTATAGTGTATAATCGTACAATACGTGCAATGAGACGCCGAGTATCTTACGTGAAAATTTCGTGGTTCAAGACTTCAATGGCTCGCGGTTGTTGTTCATATTATTTGTAATAGCTATAAGATAATAGAACGCGAGAGTATCGTTGAACTTGGACGTCTTGCAATCTTTGTGTTGGAATTTCATTGCGATGGCCGAAAATCGGGACGCGATACTAGCTGACTTTCAGGTAAATTGATGGATTCTATAAGCTTCTTGCAAGTGCAACGCAAATGCATTCTTAGGTTATGGAGTTACGTGTACATGACATTGACAATAATTTGTTTGCATTTGAGACGAGAACTTTCCCGAGATATCGAATAAACTTTCCCCGCAATACTTCAAAAATTAACGGTGCATTCAAATACATGACTTGTATCGGTCAAATCGCGCTGACACCGTGATTTGCCAAAATTCGCGGAAAACTTCCGCTTAATTCCTTTGTCATGTCGTATTGCATGCCTTTGTTTTGAAACCTGACGAATTCTCAGACGAGAGAGTATCAATGAGTATTTTCGTATAAATACCATTGTGACTTTCCATTTTGCATTCTATCTTTGTATTTGTCTTATAAATTAAATTATTTTCAGGCTTGTACTGGAATTGATGATTTCGGAGAAGCGATTTTATATTTGGAACAAACAAATTGGGATTTGTTGGTAAATATAAATATAATTAAAGCATGAATGCTTTTTGCAGCAAGAGACATGGATGATGCAGTGTAACATAATGTCTTATTACATTCTTATTTGTCAATGTTAAAAGTGAAATGATCGCTGTCATATTATATCTCTTGCTGGAAAGCTCCAATAGTAAATCATTATATCTTTGTTGTTTATCAATGTTAAACAAAGATGAAATGATTCACTATTATAATGGATCACCTGTTTCTTATTGGAAAGTAAACATAATTGTAGCAACTTATCTCAACATATATCTTTTTATTTAGGCAGCAATAAACAAGGCCATGCCCCAAACTACGCAGCAGCTTCCCTCTGAAATGGCTCCTGATATAGAAATGGTAGAAGAAATTAAAGTAACACCACTGTCGTCATCGTCGTCGTCGTCGTCGTCATCAAAATTACAAACGGTGCAGAACTCAAATAAGACAGGAGCCATGAAAGCAGACATAGTAGAAAGTGCAAAACCTGGGACAAGTAGACCTAAAAGTTGCATGAAGAATAGACAACTTACATTCCACATTAACTATCTCGATAACGTTTATAAAATAAATTTGTCAGATTTATCCACTTTGAGTAAGCAAAAATTGTTGATATTTAGACGATTTTGGTAATTAACCAAAATTTAATAAGACGGAACAAGTCAAATTATTTTATGTTCTTTTTTCAGGAGATCTTAAGCAATTTATATGGTGTAAAACAACTGTACCACCTTGTCAACAGAAACTTTATGGATGGAAAAAGGAATTTGCGAATATGACACCGAATACTGTGCTGCAAACGTTAGATCTTCCTAGAGAAAATACATTGTATCTACAGTCATCTTTGCCACAAGACGGTGACTTAGCTAATGAGGCGTAAGTTGTAAAATTTTGTCGATATAATTTTATGATTATTATAATCACGAATTTACATTTTTTCGTTCCAGCGTCATTCTGTCAGATCGTATGACTCAAACATACACATTAAACGTCAAGGACGAGGTGCATAATAAAACATATAAGTTGAAGTTTCCTGGTACACGTACTGTGCTAGAAGTGAAGACGGACATCTACTCGTTAATAGATGTACCTGTACGAAATCAACAGTGGAAAGGTTGGCCTAGTTCGTTGAAGGATGATAATGTAATACTGGCACAAAGTGGTATATGTTATCCCGAGCACGATTTATCTGTCGGAAAGCTTCCAGTGAAGGAAGAAAAGAAGGTAATGTCTCGGAGAAATCAATTTTTTTTTATCAATTTATATATAAAATTATAATACACATTCGTATTTTATATTTCAGAAAGTTGTAGATCTAATTGACAGCGATAGTTCAATAGATGAACCTGAGGATGTGGAAGAATTTGATGTTCCGGAAGAGTTTACTGGTGACGATGATATTTTCATAGACGATGTTAAACCCACTAAAATAGAACGTCTCAGTGAGTGTTCTGTATCATAAAGGAACTGCTGTTTTATTGAAATAATATGATGTCAGTATCGCAATTCAATGATATATTTTTTTATTTATAAACAGTGCCAGAAAATGTAGTAGATGAGGTGATGGGTACATTACATTTTGCGGAGCAATTTGAAAAGCGATATGGACCGGCACACCCGGAATTCTTTACTGGTACATTCGAAGATGCCCTGAAGGAATCATGTCTAAAACCAGCGAAAGAGGTTTGTTCTAAGTATTGAAAAAAAAACACGGTAAATATGTAAAACTGGATAAAAATATATAATTTTATATTATTATAGAGAAAATTATTGGCTGTATATTTGCACCACGATAACAGTGTTTTAGCAAACGTCTTTTGTACTCAACTGTTAGGCTTCGAAACAGTGCTTCAACTTCTTTCGGCAAATTTTATAGTGTGGGGTTGGGACATCACATATGAATCTAACAAAGAAAGGTAAAGTTTATACAAATATGCGATATTAAAAATTTATCGAACTTGCATTAAATGTTCGTTTGATTTTCAGATTTTTGTATTCTGTAACTCAAACCCTTGGTACTGTTGGTTCATTGGCTGTGTCGAGCATAGATGTTGATACCTTGCCAGTTCTTATGATTATTATGAGATCTAGATCTAACACAGAGATATTTACTATCGTACATGGCAATGTAGGTGTTAACGAGTTGCTAACGAATTTGGTACAAGCCGTCGATGTGTTCCAAGTGAGAAATGTAGCTTTTGCTTTATACACACACATACTGTTAAAAAATAACAGTATGGATATAAATATAGTCTTCGATTTATACAACTGTTCCTACAGAAGAATATAACTGTTTTTTTTTTTTTTAAACAGGAACAAAGACGAGCTGATATTGGCGTTGAAGAAGAACGACAGGCTAGAGAAAGAGTCAAACGAGAACAAGACAGAGCATATCAAGAAAGTTTGGCAGCTGATAGGTAATTTAAAAACGATATCTAAACTGTTTGAAAGGAAGAAAAGTATGTCCACATATATATATATATATATATGTATGTATGTATGTACGTATAAACGATTTACATTGAACAAAAAATGTAATGTTCACAATTTACTTTAAGAGCAAAAGAAGAAGCGAAACAGATGCAAGAGGAGCTTGAAAAGAAAAAGAAAGAGCAGGCTGAAAACGAAAGATTAGCTGAGGAAGCAAGAAAAGAAGCTCATAGGCAAGCTGTAGAGTCTAGTTTACCACCTGAACCGCAACAGGGAGCGGGCGATGGCGTAATGAAAGTAAGAGTACGGCTTCCAGCAGGAAAATTCCTGGAAC